TAGTTACAATTCAGGCAAATGAGACAATGAAATGCGAAGACCGACCTCTCTGAAGGTTGTGCCTTGGACAAGAGAAACCCGGTCAGTTTTTTTCTAGTCACTGTTGCTAGTGCTCAGATCCGCCGTGCAATGGTTTGGAGGGTGCACAAGTTGGGAAAATTTGGGAAAGACACTGTGATGCCTTTGTCTGGAAAGGGCCAGAATCATTGCCTAATATTAGTTATGACATTAGTTGTGTAATCCCCTAGACTCTGTCTTCCCCTCTCTGACCCTAGGACCCCAAAAAACCATGTGATAGAGGAAGGAGACAGGGTAGTTGTAAGTATGACCGAACAAATAAATTGAGCATGAGTGTCGAATGAGTGGATTCCCAGGGGGCAGATGGCCGTCTCGGTTTCTCCTGAAATGCAGTGTAGGGAAGAGCATCATTCCCTTGGATGGAAGAGCACTTAGCTGTGACTGAAGGCTGCACCTTCGGGAGCTGCTCTAGGCTTCCCTTTCTGTCCCCATTCATCCCTTCCATGAATCTGTGCCTCGGCCCGTTCTCTGCTGGATTCTGTGCTGAGAAATGATGACACAAAGACGAAGGCAGATGTTTCCTGCTTTCAAGGAGTGTGTGTGCTTGGTGGAGATGCAGCCTGCGAACCAGGATATAGATAGACTTGAGTGTGGCACAGAGGAGGAAGTGTGCCATCCCCCTTGGAGAAAGTGACTGGAGAAAGGCTGGATAGGAGACAGGTGAGCGCCCAAGGGTGGAGGCCACGCCTCTCAACTAGTCTGCAAAAGCAGGAGCCAGCAACTCAGTTCTAGCCAGGAAATGGCTTTCCATGGCTTTCTCCTGCTTCATGTTAGCTTCGTGGCTGTTTGCGTCTGCTTAGTTCTTCCATTCCGAGGTTAAGTGGAAGTGAAATTCGTTTATTTGGCTTCTGCCCAAGGAAAAGTGAGGGAAGTAAACTGGCAAATTAAAGACTTACAAAATCCAGTGCAAATTTTTTTTTTAAAAAAATTGCAGTGATTATTTTAAAGTTGTTATTTAGTTTATGGGTATGAGTGTTTGGCTGCATGGATGCATGTGCCCCGCAGGCATACCTTATGTCCCTGGGGGACCGGATGAGGGTGTCAGATCCCCTGACACTGGAGCTAACTAGGAGTCATCATGTGAGTGCTGAGAATCAAACCTGAATTCTCCAAAGAGCAAGTAACTGTTGGGCCATCTTCCAGCCCGATTGCAAGAATTTTTAAATACATTTGCTTAGTCTAAAATGATCTTCTAATCTCCTAGGTCCTTGAAATATTTCAGTGATGGCAACAGTAATGAAATGAGTTTAAAGAAAAAGTTTTTCTTACCCTACTCTCCCCAATTTCCCGGGCACAGCACTGCTAATCTGATGGGTGTCCTTCTGAGCTTGAAGTTTATGCGACGATCTATAACGACAATGTTTTAAAGCAAAAACGAAGTTATTTCACTGAGAGTGTAAATCATATCCTCTGCATCTTGATTCTCCCTTCTCCTCTTCAGCTCTTTTTGTAGAACATGAATACTTAACAACAGCTTTCAATGGGGGAAGGCTTTTCAGTTCCCCCGTGCAGAGAAAATGGTCCAGCGATAAGTAAATATTTCTTTGAGTCAAAAGGGAGAGTGGAAGAGGTCCTCACTCAGCTTTGAGGACAGTCCTCTGCTTTCTACACTTTTCCCAGTCATGCTTTCGGAGTCGTCAGCTTTTGCACGTCTGGACATATTTATCCCTTGCACCTAAACCTCACTTCTTTTTCTTAATATTTACAGTAAACATCATGTGTGTGTTTGTGTGAGTGCATGTGCATGTGGACATATATGCAAAGTACAATGGCTCCCTGTTGTATGGACAGTTGAGGCATCCCTAGAGTGGATGTTACCTGGTATGCTTGCTTCTTCTTAGTCTCAGTCATTTCCCTCTCTGGACTAACATCATCCTCCTACTGAGTCTTCTGTCACCTCTGCATCGGGCTTCTGCTTATTTATTCATTTATCACATAGCTACTGTCTTAGTTAATTTTTCTGTTGCTGTGAGAAAATACTCTGGCCAAAGCAACTTAAGGGAGAAAAGGCTTATTTTGGCTCATAAATTAAGGGTATGGTCCATCATAGAGGGAAAGTCATGGCAGAAGCAGCTTGGGACAGCTGTCACATTCCGGTCACAATCAGGAAGCAGAAAGAGATTATTGTGATCAACTGGCTTTCTCCTTTGTGTTTAGTCCGGCACCCTAGATGGAGCTGCACACAACAGGCAAGTCTTCCCACCTCGTTTAGCCTAATTGAGATAATTTATTTGTCTTCATTAGGATTTCTATTGCTGTGACGAGACACCATGACCACAGCAACTCTTATAAAGAAAGGCATTTTTGGGGGGCTGACTTGTAGTTTCAGAGGCTTAGTCCATTATCGTCATGGCTGGAAGCATTGTGATGCACAGGCAGACATGATGCTGGAGAAGGAGCCAAGAACTCTATATCTGCATCAGAGGAAGCAGGAAGAACGAGAAAGCCTAAAGACTTGGTCATTTGAAACTCTAAAGTCCACCCTCAGTGACACATTTCCTCCACAAAGGCCACACTTAATCCAACAACAGGTTTGGTTTTGTTTTTTTTTTTTTTTTTCAATTTGAACTTAAGACAAACTGGGTCACCTGGGAAGAAGGGAGCCTCAACTCGGAAAATACTTTCATCAGGTTTGCTTCTCGAGGCTGAGACATTGCATGGCTTCCAGGGACTGACCTGACTGGGACAGCAAGGGAAGGAAACAATGATGGACACGTGGACTCAAGGACACAGAGGGCTGGGATCTCTGAAGGAGAAGCCACAGCATGTTTAGTATACACAGTTGAACAAGAAGACAGGGTTGTGGCATCCGGCTGAATAGGGGCAGGAGCAGTCTCTTCAGGGGAGCTGTCTTTAGGCTGTAAACATCAGGGTGGGTCCTGGAGGGAAGGCTATGGTGGACATTCTCCGCACACACTCTCAGCCTCCACACATGGACCAGATGTGCTTAGTCACCCTCTGAGCCTCGTGCTGTGGGGAAGACTTTGTATTTGCCCATGGTCCTTGACATGACCATGCCAATGACATGTTCACTCAGGCCTTTACACACTCAGGGGCTTCCTCTACTCTTCACAGGTAGACAAGTTCATTGGGGGCATTTTCTTGTTTCATGATTCGGGGGGGGGGGAAGTCAGGCTCACTGTACCCTGGGGCAAGTGGTCTTGGGAACCCTAAGAAAGAGTAGCTGAGTATGAACCTGGAGCCCAAGCCAATAAGTGACACTCCTCCATGACCCCTGCTTCGGGTCCTTCTTCCAGGCTGCTGGCCTGGCGTCCTTTCCCTGACTTCCCTCAGATGGATTATATGGTGTAAGATGAGAAACTCCTTCCCACAAGTTGGTTTTGTTAGTGTTTTATCAAAGCAGCAGAAACAAACTAGGTCACTCGCCATGTTTCTCAGTTCACGTTCCTGAGGGAAAGAATCTGATGAGCTGAGCGGACTTCAGGTCTTAGGTAGATTGCTGAATGTTCCATGATTCAGTGCCCTTTGTCCAGGCAGATAGGACTGGAGAAGGGTGGAGTTGGACACCATGACTCTTCCCATCCCTGATCTGTTCAGCATCTTCTAGAAGGATTTACTGTGCATTTGTATCATCTCCCACAGGAACTGCAGTGATTTATTTGCATGCATTAAATATTCAGTGGATATCAATATAGTCAACACTTATTCCCATGGTATTGGGCACTCGGTGGGCAGAGAGCAAGAATGACAGCTGAAGACATGGCTCAGTGGTTAGAAATACTGCTCTTACAGAGAACTCTAGTTCAGCTCCAGAGAGAGAGAGAGAGAGAGAGAGAGAGAGAAAGAGAGAGAGAGAGAAAGAGAGAGAGAAAAAAAAAGTTAAAAAGAAAACACACAATTTTTTTGTAATAAATTCTTTCCATGTCACTGCTCCACACTTATGGGATATTTATTTCTGTCGGGACTCAGTGGAGTATTCTAATGTCACCTTCTGCTAACCCCTGCTCTGCACTGCCAGCTCTTGCTGACCATTGCAGCTCCCTCGGTGGTTTTCTGTCTGAAGTGTCACCAACATCCTTCCCTCATCTTAGTCGTCCTTTATCTTCCCTTCCCTTTCCCATGGCCCAAAGACCACGCTGTCTCCTGCTTTAGCTTTATTGTATCATGTAGCTTACACCTTTGGCCCTTGCTCTCTGATGTTGTTCATAGGTTTCTTCTCTTTATTGGACTCTGAACACTTTGAGAACGGACAGCCCTGTTGCTCATCACCACCCCATAATACCAAGTACAATGATCATCCAGGAGCCTCCAGTAAATTTTATGCTTCACGGATGGATATGCATTTTACATATTGCGTGTGATTTTTAGGCAACATACAGACTTCCGAATGCAGAAATCCTGATAACAGGTTTCTAGCGATGTCACGGCAGTTTCCTGACCAGTGAATGAAGAACGGGGTAAATTTCTGTTGTGCACCCATCAGCATTCAATAATGAATGGAGATAATGTCAGGTGGGATTCAGGTTAGGACGCTGGGAAACTGAATCCAAACTCCCTTTCTCAGAACTTTGAAGAATTATAAAGAGTCGTTTTAAAGATGAAGACTTAGGAATTTGAGTACCTCTCTGATGAATTTATTTATATATAAAAACGGGACTGAAAGCATAGATGTAATCTTGTAACTGAGAGCTCTTCTTTTCAACTTTAGAATTGCATTATTTTAATGGTTCTAACTAATAAGGGTTAACTATTATATAGATGATATACAAAAATTACCTGTAAGCATTACATTAAAAAAGCAAACAACAAAATCCTCCATTTTTACCAGCTCTTCTGACTTCTAATAGGAGATGTGTAAATACATTCAGTCGTCACTTCCACAGTGGTTCTGTTTCTTTAAGAGACTATGGTTGTTAAGTCAAAAGATCATTGAAGCATATGAGGGTCAATAAAAGAATAAAACCACTGGTTAGTGATTCGAGTACAAGGAACTTGATCCCAGTGTGTGTTCATATGCTGCTCAGAGTCAACAGAGGAGCGCCAGATCCTTGGCTGCTTGCTGACGCTCTTCAGGATGGTTTCTGGCAGAATAATTAAGCTGGTGTTTTTTGAGCTTCTTGAGTTTGCTGCCTTCTCCGTTCCTACCCTTGTGATGATGGAACAGTTTGCTGCTTCATATCAAAACATAATGAACAGAGCTGACAGGACGCACTATTGGCTCATTGTTTCCTGCTCCATCGCCTATGTGGCTGCAGTGAGTCTCTTGATCTGGGTTCCGATAAAAGTTATCTTATTCAAGAAGCGGCATCTTTACAAAAAAATTGTAGGATGGTAAGTAAAAGAACTCATTAGCAGGGAGTCTCTGCCATGTTTTTAATCCTTGAATGTGATGTGTTCATGTGTGCCAAGCATATGAACTTAGCACTAATGTGTGTTAGATTAATGATGACATTGCACTCACTGTCTTTAAAATGTATTGATGTCGTGGTATCGTTCATATCTTCTATATACATATATTGATGTTATGCTATTGCTACATTTTCTATGGTCATTTTTTTTCTCAATAACAAATTGCAAGGTATGTTGGTTTGAATGTTGCCAGTACTTTCTCAGTGCACTGAACTGTACAAAGTCTCCAGAGTTGTCCTACAGACATCATGATCAGAAGGTTAGCAGGCAGAATTTCACTTTTGTGTCAAACTGAAAGTAACATCTCCTTCTAAGAGTTTACATAGCACTTCGTGGGTCTAAGGTACAATTTGGCCCATCATTAACTGAGATGTTTTAGGAACTTGATTACTAAGATTTTTTTTTTTTTAAAGAATGCTTAAAGTGTTGCTAAGCCATATTAACCCTTGTAGGGAGAGAATATGTCTGTGGTAATACAGAAGTACCTTAGATAAAGAGTTGATGTTGCTAGGTTCAGTTGCCAGGTCAGGAGGCTGAGAGCGCACGATCAAGGGGTTCTAGGTCAGGGTGGGCTACATAACAAGACCCGACTCTCGAGAGAAAGAACACAACAACAACAAAGTCGCCTTACTTGGCGTTGGCTGTCAGTTTTGACTGTTGAGCCTGAGAGCAGTCCCTCTCCTTATTGCATTTCTCCTTGTAGATCTTCAGATCTGATTTCTCACTCATCTGGGAATTCTTTATTTTCTCTGATAAGTTAAATTCTCTTTGTTACTTTGTTGCTGACCCTTGACTTTACAGGTGGACAGTGTAGAGAGAATTTGAGGAATTTGAGCTGAGTGTTGTGATATAATTCCGGGCAGCAATGTAAAAGCCTTACGTGGAAGGATGCTGACACAGAGAGCCGAGTTAACCAAGGGCCTCTTAGGAACGACACTGGATGTGGCTCCCTGAACCTCGCCAGGGCACTTCTTGTTCCCACAGGGCTAGGCTTCTCAGACCGAAATCATTTTGTGGTTGGCATTGCTTTTGTCAGTGAAAAGCAGAGACTTTCCAACTTTAGCGGGGGCCTCAGGTTCACAAACGGAATGTCTTAGAAGTGGACCATATACCCCAATTTCCTTGAACTGTCCAAGACTGTTAGATGAGCAAAGAATTTTGAGGCCATGGTGGCAATTCCCAATGCCAGTGAGAGTGAAGTAGGACAGTCGCCCACGGCAGGGCCTCTGTCCCCAAGACTCTTAGCTTTGATGGCTTGTTTGGACCTTGGCTCATTTCTCTAGCACCTTATGCTCTTAATGTCATTCAGATGCCCAACTTTCACATATAATTTATTATCAATATAGTTAGTATTAAGCTATAATTCCCTTTTCACAGATCCTGTTGTCTTGAGAATGTTATACATAGACTTTTATTTCTTAATTCTGTGCCACCTCATACAAGTATTTTGCCTCAAAAGATATTTTTAATGAATGTACCAGTATTCCCAAAACAAAACTGATACTCAGAAAAACTTTGCAGCTTTCCCAAAGCCAGTCTAGTAAGTGATAGAACTGAATATTAGACATTGGCCTATCTCAGTTTGTGCCTGATATTCCAACCACTATTGTAGACTATCTCTGATGAACTTGGGTCTCTAGGGCAATTGAGATTGAGGAGAAGTCTTTTGCTCCTAGTGTTCAATGCATGTTGCATTCTCACCCCTTTTTGCTGTCTGCTCCAACTTCATGTTACACGTCTGTCCCGAGTAGTCCATACATCAAAGGGTCTTGGTTTGTTGCCGCAGCTTCATCTCTCAGTGATCTCTTCTGGGGAATCCTTTCCCTGTCTTTAGTTTCTATTTGTGGGTGAGGCTGGCCCCAGGTGCTTGTAAATGGCTTTACATAGATTATCAGTTTATCTGTAATTTCGGTGAACTCTGCAACTGTTTCCTCATGGGCTCATTCATGCACTCTATCTAGTGGTGAACTCTTAGGGCCATTAAAGAAAAGAAACAGCTCACGAAAGAAACTTGTAGGCATTTTACAATACTCAGCAAAGCTAAATTTAGACTTTATGGCATCTCAGTGAAGCTAGGTGCTGCTCTCCTCGTGTTCTATCTGGAGAAACAGAAACTTAAAGTGATAGCTTTGTTAAGAGATTCAGCTGCCTTGAAGTGGGTCTGGGATCTGCAAGCCCAGAGTTGTTAAATTCTGTGCAAGTTCTTCTGTTTTCAGAAATTTTTTTCTTTCTTCCTTTTGATTTTGAAGGCCAACCATGGCTTTCTTAAATGGCATTAGAATATATTTCTCCAAAAGATGTACATTTCATTAGTACTAATGACATGATTTCCAATGATATTTTGTCATTTGAACACATGAGAGGCAGCATAGTGATACCATTCTAACCTCAAAGCTGTTTTTGTATTTATACACGTGCAATCATATACAGGGCATTAAACCTTAGTTGCTACATGAAGATGAAGGTAGTTTTAGCCATGTGTTGGTGGCACAGGCCTTTAATCCCAGCACTGGGAGGCAGAGGCAGGTGAATCTCTGAGAATTCAAGACCAGCCTGGTCTACAACAGCTAGTTCCAGGATAGGCTCCAAAGCTACTCAATCTCAAAAAAGAAAAAAAAAATAGTTTTACAAAACAGTAGAGGGGATCACAAACATTATTGTTTTAATTTATTATTTATTGTGTAATGTAGGACCCATCTATGACAAGCTCAATAGAGGCCTGGGTCTCAGTAGTTTTCCCTAGGGTAATACCTGATTGCAAGAAAGACCATAAACTGAGACTACCCAGGCACCACCCAGAAACAGACTGTCCAAAGGAAAGTCCTAATGTTCCAATCATTGTAGACAGCATCACCTGCCAGCACACACCCATCACTTTTCACCAGGACACCCCTAGACAAATGCCAGCCAATCAGGATTGAACTCATCACCCCAAACCCTGGTAATGTAATTTTTCTGGTTTTTGCCTTTAAATAGTGCTCTCTAGAAGGGTGGGGTACCTCCTCTTGCTGCTGCACTGAGGTTCCTGCCAGCTTGCAGTTATGTGCATGATAATAAACCTTGCTTTTGCATATAGGTGAGTCAGTCTCCCTGGTGGTCTTTTGGGGTCCCCACAGACTGGGCGCAATAACTTTTGAGTAACAATGAGCTAGTTGTTCATATAAAGTTTCACAAATCCTTAAATTCATAGGTTTGATATTGATGAGACTATTTGAGAAAAATCCCCCAAAGGCCTATGAACCCTATAAAACTGGTCATCAGAGAGAGGGACCAGAACACTGATAAGAATCTGTCCAAAGGACATGGCTAAGAAAGCAGACATGGACTCAAATCTCAGCTTTGACATTGTCTTATGTGAGTTATTTATATTCTCTGAGCTTTAATTTTCTCAAGAGCCAAACAGGGACACTCTTAGTTTCCATTTGGGGGATTAAAAAAAAGACAAAAAAACAACGTAAGATTGTGCATCTAAAATTGCTATTTCAGTGCCTCAAAGCACTATGGACATCAGTGTTAATGACTCCACTGAACTGGTTACTTCCAGTTAAATTGTGAACTTGTTTAATCCATAGAGTAATCATGAGAAATGGATGATGTTGTGATAAAGCTGAAGGAAAGTAGATGCTGTCTGTGGTACTCCTAGAATCTGAGGATCTTTTGTCATTTGAGCATGAGAACCCATACCGTGATTCTCTCAAAAGCAACTTTTGCCTTTACACAAGTGCTTTGAGTTTCCCTTTCTCTGTGACCTACTACTGGACGATGCTGTGAGTTGACCAGGTGGCTATAAATCTTTCATAAAGAGGAAGTGAGTCACAGAGCTGAGGACTTACACTAAGTCAACAGCAGAGACTGAACTTTCACTTGTGCGAAACACTTCCTCATTCTTTCAGAATCATTGTTCCTTTCTTTACTGCCTGTTGTCATTCATATGGATTAGGGAGAAGCTGGGTGGAATAGAGAAAAGCATATAAGTAAATACCCAAGTGTGTCTGCCAATCGGTAAGAGAGATCCCATCCTGGGCGGATCAGAAGGCTCAACGGGACAGGGCAGCTCTGGAGGAGAGGTGGAAATTCCCAGATTGCCTCAGGACCCAGAGCTGTGTTCCAGGGATTCCTCCTACTCCTCTTCACAAGAGAATTCTTTCAGACTATGATGTACCAGGAGTCGCAAAGTTTCAAAGGCCATACTTTGAATGACATTTTAGTTTGCTGCGATTTTGCTGTCGCTTTTTTAGGTAATGGGAATGGTAGTGGTGGTCGGGTGTCATCATAGTAAAACAGGAACAAATACTTGATCACTTCCTACGTGCCATGTGTACTTCCGGACATGTTATCTACCTCTGTTCAGTCAACTCCCTAAACTTTATCCTTAACAAGCATAGCTCCCCTCTTATAAACGAGGAAACTGAGTCACAGCAGTTAACAGGTCATACAAACAAGAGATGCAAGAATATCCCTTGGATGACTGTCTGCAGAGTCCGCTGGTAAGACACACAACACAGCACCTGCAGCCTTTGTGTTGTACTGCACAGACTGGCTAACCAGCAGGAAATGCAGCCCACTGTTTTCAGTAGGGTATCAGTAACCATTGTGTTATTATTTTTGTTGTTATTATTATTGTTTATGATTATGATGATGCCTTTGTGGTAGGACCTGATGTAGCACAGAAGCACTTCAAACTTGGTGTGTACCTGAATTCTCGAACCTCTTGCCTCCACTTCCCAAGTGCTTGGATCGTAGGAATGCACACCCATTCCCAGTTTTGTGCAGGGCTGGGGATCCAAACCAGGACCTTTTGCACACTAGACAAGCAGCCTGCCAACACAGCTGCATCCACACCTTCATACCAGTACTGGTGCCTTAGAGTAATTTTCTTTACCAGTGCTCCCATGTGGCGGCCACTTTCCTCTCTATGAAGA